TCTTGTGCATCTCCCCTCACTTCATATCAGCTGGATGCTTCACTCTTAGCTCTAGCCCTCTGTGGCTATATCCTTGTCCGTGGACTAAATTGTCCCCAGGTCTCACCACACTTCAGACCAACCAACTCTTCCTCTTCTCTATCTTGTATCTCTATGTCAATGGGGGTCAACGGACTGTGGTTGAACTCAGCCTATTTCTTCATTGCTGCCTTTCCCCCTCTTCCATTCACCAGTACACTAATGTGGTTGCCAGCAAGCTTACATGCCTATTCATGCATTCCCTTTGAGTTTCAGTCTTAGAGGGGAGTTTTTCCTGAGGAACTTGATTGCTTGCCTTGATGGCTTCCCATAGAACAGCTTGCTTATTCTTATTCAGTAGTCAGTCATGGTGACATTTTTGTTTTGGGTTTTTCCTGCAGATCTTTCTTTGAAGATGTATATTCTGTTGCTCTAGCTGTTCCAGGCTGGTCTGCTTGTCCTTTCTAGTGGGAATGTACCACTTCATAAGGTTCTGGATGGGACTCAGGATTCCACCTAAGGTCCTATACTCTGCAAAGGCTTTGCAAGAAGCTTATTTTACTGGGCAAGTTCTAGAACCCCTTTTAGGTATTCTGATCAGTTATAGGCTGAAGACGGGCTTACAGGCTTTCTGTAATCATGTTTCCCAATATTCCTTTCTATTCCACTCAAGTGTCTATTTTACAATAGTAGGCAAGGGAAACCAATATTCATAAGAGAATCAAGCATTTTAGTATTATTTCCCTTCTTTAAACTATGAGTAGATCCATGTATCACAGAGACCTGTTGTTCCAAGTTGAGCATACATCGCTATTTACCTCTGTCCCACTTAGGGCATGTAAACCTGTTGCAGTGTTCCCCTATATATCTTGTTCTTCCACCTCCCCCCCCCCCTTCTTGTATTGCCCTTCCCAACACCTGAATTAAACCCCTCACCTCAATTCCACTGTTGTGGTTACCTTATATTTCATTCATTCTTCCCTCCATTTAAGACAATCTATTTTATCCTGTAATCTACCTGACCTTCTCACCACCTGGATCTCTGTTCCACTGTGTTTACCTTCTTTCACCTTGTAATTGTTTTGATCATAGGCTGACCTCCCAGATCCTCTGTTCTCATAATTTTATTCTGTTCTTGACTCATTTGTCAATTGAATTCAGGGTGATGCTGCCACATGTCATTCTCTGTTTTTTTTTCTATTCTTGTTGGTTCTCAGTCCACAGAACTCCCTTTAGGATGTTTTTCATAGCAGGATTGGCTTTGGCAAAATCCCTTAGCTTCTGTTTATACTTGAGTGTTTTGATTACACCATCGTATTTGATTGACAGCTTTGCTTGGTAGAGGATTCTTGGTTATCAGTTTTTTTTTTTTTTCTTTCAGGGTTTTGTATATGTCTCCCCATTGCCTTCTTGCCTGCATAGTTTCTGTTGAGAAATCAAAGCTTAATCTGATTTGCTTTCCATTGTATGTTACACTTCTGTATTTCTTAGCGGCTTTCAGGATTCTGTCCTTATGTTTAATTTTGGAGAGCTTGATTATTATATGTCTTGGTGATTTACTTTTAGGGTCTCTCCTTCCTGGGGTTCGTTGAGCTTCCTGAGTGCTTATCTTTTCACTTTTCAGGATGTTAGGAAAATTTTCTGCCAGCATCTCTTCAACTATCTCCTCTGTGGCCTTGTGTGATTATTCCTGTTCCAGAATGCTGATAATTCTTAAGTTTTTCCTCTTCATCTTGTCCACCAAGAATCTTAGGCCTTCTTTGGATTTTTTTTATCCTTTTTTGTGCTTGCTCTTCTAAGTAGTGTTGAGAGATTATCTTCCAGCTCACTGGTTCTGGCTTCTATCTCTTCAATTCTACTCCTTTGCCTATTCAGTCTATTGTCCATTTCTGACACTCAATTATTAATTATTTGGACCTCTTTCTGTAGGTTTTGAATGATTTCTATTGCTGTTTCTATTTTATTTGATTATTCCTGTAGCACTTTCCTGGCTTCTTTCTTATTTTTCTCAACTTAATTGTATAGTATTTTGATACATTTTATAATCACTTTTCTGAATTCCTTCTCAGGCATTTCCAAAGCTTGCTCATCTTCCAGTGTGGAGTGTAGGTGTACTTCAGTCACTTTATCTCATTTCTGGATATGTGCTGATATGATCATCTGTTTCTGTTTTATGGGGTATATTCAGGAGTTATCTGTGGCCTTAATACTTAGATGGGTGTGTATTTTGGTATTGTTTATGCTTTCTGATTGCTTCCAGGTAGATGAGATCAGGAAATGGGCTTCCCTTTTCACTCTTTTTCCTGAGAAATTTCAAGATGTCACTGTTTGTCATTGTGACGTATCTCAGGATTTAATTTTTGGTCTATTTCCTTTTTAGTCTGTGTGTCCCGCTCCACAATCCCCATTCAGGACTTTTTCCCAGCAATAAACAGTTCAGGGTCAGCAGTGGCCGTTTTGCACTGCCGTTTGGTTTTAAGTAGAAACTGTCACTTTAAATTTTGAGATCTGTGAGCATGCGTAGTAGAACCCTCCAGGGGTGGGAGTGGGGTCTCCACTTGCTCAGGCACCCCCTCTAGTCACCAGAATGGAGGTGCGCAGCCATCGAGAGACCAATGAACAGATAAAAAAAAAAAAAATAGAGTGTCCACACCTTTATTGCTGCAGTTCTGTAAGGCTTCCATGGCTGCTTGGATCATTCCCTTGCTTGGTCTCATCCAAGATGGTGGCTCCAGGAGCAGCTGAACATCTTGGATTAGAAAGCAATGGATTTTTTGCTTCTGCTACAAATTCCCCTAGCTGTAAGTCTTCCAACCTTCTAAATATTCCTTTATATATGGTTCAGAGTTCTGGGACCATCCCCTGAGCCTGCTTGGTCCGGTATTCTGTGTTGTTGCTGATGGAGCTCCTCACTGCTTGTCTACCCGATGTGACATCTTGTTTGTTCTCATTTGATTTCTTGATTGCTGCTTCCAAGAGTGTTGATCCAAGTAAAATGAAGTCTTTGACAACTTCATTCTTTTCTCCATTTATCATGAGGATATTTATTAATCCAGTTGTGAGGATTTTTGTTTTCTTTATGTTGATGTGCAATTCTTATTGAAGACTATGGTCTTTGATCTACATCAGTAAGTATTTTCAGTCCTTTTTACTTTCAGCAAGCAAGATATCATCTGCGTATCCCAGGTTGTTAATGAGTCTTTCTCTAATCCTGATGCCATGCTTTTCTTCATATAATCCAGCTTCTTGGATTATTTGCATAGCATACAGATTATTTGCTTACCATACATATGGTGAAACAATATAGCATTGGCACACACCTTTTCTTCTGCTAAACCTTCCTTAGTTATTTTCTATTTGTTTGGAAACTAAGATTCAAGAATACTTCACTCATGTTTCATTGATTTATCTCTAGTACCTAGACTGGTCACTGAAGTTAGCTCTCAACAAATATCTTTCCAGTGAGTGAACAGAAGCAGATAGTGTAAACTAGAAAGAATAACCAGCCGTAAAATCTACCCTGTCACAGAGCTTTTCTTTATGTGTAATCATTTTCTGTGATTAGTAATGGACTGCAAAACACAAGGTTGACAGTCCAAATTCACCAGTTGCTTCTCGGAAACCCTATACATTGTCATTATGAGTCAGAACTAACTCGACGTCACTTAGCAACAACAACAACAACAACCTAGTAGGGTAAATAAAAAAGTATTGCTACTAGGATTCCAGTTCATACATACTTGAGTTTATTCCAATCAAAGCATGTTTAAACATGGCTCTGTGATCAGTGTATGACTATAGACAAGTTCTCTCAATACACTTGTCTTACTTTCCTTAGGGTACTTCCCCCCCACCCCCCTGCCTTAGGGTACTTAAAAAAAAAAAAAGGTCCAATCAAAACAGTAGTTTTTGAGGTAATCTGCTGGGCTAATTTAATTCAAGGCAGAGAGGTCAATTCAAAGGTTATAGCAACTGTTTTGAGAAATTATAAAGGGGTTATCTTGATAGAATCAAACAGGACTTTAATGAACGTTTATTAGGAAGAAATTTTGAGAAAATTGAAAACTGCATTAGTGAGAAAAAAAACCCAGGAAAGCTGTACCAATGGATGTCTTTTCATCATGGCAGTGCACCTGCTCATTCTTCCAGGGGAGTAAAGGCTGTCCTGCAAGAATTTCATTAGGAAACCTTATCCCTCTCCACCCTACAGTCCTAATCTTACCCCTTCAGACTTCTTTTTGTTCCCTAAACTCAAAGAACATTTAAAAGTAACATGATTTTTGTTCCTGGAGAATGGCAAATCTGCCATTTTGACATGGTATGAATACAAGAGTACAAAATTCTTCCAAAAAGGGTTAGAGAAATGGAAACATCACCTATAGATGGAGGATAGATTGAGAAACAATTACTTCACATTTTGATATTTTTATTTAATAAAAGTTTTATGATATCTTAGCAATACTTTTGACTCACCCATGGTTTATCTCCCACTAGGGTTTAATAGTGGGACTATCTTTGAAATTATAGTTCTCTTCCTGGAACACTATATGATAAATTCCCATTCAAAAAGAGGTGTCCAAAAGTTTAGAAACATGAAGCTATTTCCTTCATTATCATCATGAAGTTGATCAGTAGGAAGTAGGTAGAATATCAGTGTTTTGTGTGTCTTCAAAAATACATTTACAAAACAAGCAGAAGGTTATGAAAGAGATTAAATCAAAGAAAATTAGGTAAAATAAGGACTACAATAAGCAAACTAAATATCCCCTGTGCTTCCAGACTTTTGATGTACTTTTAATTTTGGGGGTGTATGAAAGGGAAATGAATGAATTAACCAAGAAAAATTTAATTGAAACTATAATTATTAAGTAGATTCTAGTCTTTCTTTGGTCTGTAAGTGTGCATGCATAAGCCAGATGAGTCTGCATACTGTGCCATTAAAGCAGAACCTGTTGATTTTATGTTTTGTTTTCCCTCTTTAGTCTGTGAATTTCTGGTATGTACTCGTGATGAACGATGAGCACACAGAGAGGCGATATCTGCTGTTTTTCCTTCTGAGTTGGGGACTTCCAGCTTTTGTCGTGATTCTCCTCATAGTTATCCTGAAAGGAATCTATCATCAGAATATGCCACAGATCTATGGACTCATCCATGGTGACTTGTAAGTACATCCAGGAAGAACAGATTGCCTTATTAGATTTTGAAACTAAGCAACTTTATTAGTAAAGATGGTGAAAGCCGTTGGCCAAGATGTGTAATTGAAAGATAACTAGGGATATTCATGTTTTCCTGCTATCCTATTTGAGTTGCTGTTTCCTATAACTATTCCACTAAATGAGAAACTATTACCTCTCAAGTTTCTTTTATAAATGCAATTTTCTTGGGTGAGCTAGTGTGGTGTATTGAACGTTGTCATTGTTAAGTGACATCAAGTCAATTCTGTCTTAGAGTGACCTTATATAGGGTTTGTAAGTAGCAACGGGTCTGAAGTGCCGACCTTGTGGTTAGAAGTCCAGTGCTTATCCTGCAGAGCTATACCTGGTGTATTGAATAATTCACAGTAATTGGTTAACATAGTTAACATAGTATAAATTAGTATGCTGGGTTGGGGCAAAACATGTTGTTGTCATTAGGTGCCATTGAGTCGGTACCCACCCATAGCAACTTATAAACAGCAGAACGAAACACTGCCCAATCCTGGGCCAACCTCACTACTGTTGCCACGCTTGAGTCCATCAATGCTGCAACTTGGCCAATCCATTGGAGCTTTTCCATCATTTCTTTCCGCAGATGTAGTCAATTTGGTTTCTATGTATTCCATCTGGTGAGGTCCATGTATATAGTTGTCTGTTAGGCTGTCTAAAGAAGGTATTTGAAATGAACAAATCATTGGTTTTGCAGAATTCTATCATGCATTCTCCAGCATCATTTCTATCATCAATGCCATATTTTCCAACTACTGATCCTTCCTCTTTGCTCCCAATCTTTGCATTTCAGTCACCAGTAATGATTAATATGCATGTTTGATCAATTTCAGATTGAAGAAGTTGGTAGAATTCTTCTATTTCATCCTCACTGGCTTTAATGGTTAGTACATAAATTTAAATAATAGCTTTATTAAATTCGCTTCCCTGTAGGCACATGGATATTATCCTATCACAGGCAGTGTTGCACCTCATGACTGATCTGGATATGTTATTTTTGACAATGAACGCAGCACCATTCCTCTTCAGTTTGTCATCCCGGCATAGTAAACCATGTGGTTATCAGATTCAAAATGGCCAATACCAGTCCATTTCAGCTCACTAATGCCTACAATATCTATTTTTATGCATTCCATTTCATTTTTGACAACTTTCAATTTTCCCAGAGATTCATACTTTGTAAATTCCATGTTCCGATTTTCAATGGATGTTTACAGCTGTTTGTCTTCATTTTGAGTTGTGCCCCGTCACCAAATGATAGTCCCACAGGCTTTTCTCCCATGAACTTTACTCCATTTGCTTCATCACTGTCAACTCTATTTTGAGGAGGCAACTTTTCCCCAGTCACATTTTGAGTACCTTCCAACCTGAGGGGCTCATTTTCCAGCACTATATCTGACAGTGTTTCTCTGCTATTCATAAGGTTTTCAGTGACTAAATATTTGGAAGTAGTTTTTCACTCCTTCTTCCTAGTCTGTCTTTGTCTAGAAGCTCATCTGAAATCTATCCACCATGGGTGACCCTGCTAATATTTAAAATACCGATGGCATAGTTTTCAGAATCACAGCAACTCACAAGCCACCACAGTAAGACAAACTGACAATCTGGGCACTATAAAAATTTTTATAAAGAATAAAATCAGTGAAAAAATTTGGAGTGTCACACATTATCTAAGAAGTCTGTTAAGGAAAACCAGAATATTGTTGTTGGTTGGTGCCATGTGGTCAGTTCCAACTCATAACAAAGAACTGAACACTGGCTGGCTCTTCACTATCCTTATAATTGTTGCATTTGAACCCATTGCAACTGCAAATGTGTCATTCCATCTCCATTTCACTGACCCTCCACGTTTCCAAGTATGGTGCCCTCCTCCTGTGACTTGTCACTCCTGAAAACATGTCTAAGTATGAGAGACGATGTCCCACATCCTATCTTCTAACGACCATTCTGGCTGCACTTCCCCCAACACAGATTTTTTGTCTTCTAGCAGTCCATGGAACCTTCAATATTATTCTCTAATACCACATGCAGATGCATTAATTCTTCTATGATCTGCCTTACTCACTGTACAACTTTCACATGCATATGAGGGAACTGAAAATATCTGGCTTGTTTCAGGTGCACCTTAGTCCTCAAAATGGCATCTCTGTTCTTGAACACTTTAAAAGGTTTTGTGCAGTAGACTTGCCTACTGCAATATGTTGTTTGATTTCTTGACTGCTACTTCCGTGAGTGTTGATTGTGGATCCAAGTGAAATAAAGTCTTTGACAAATGAAACATTTTCTCCATTTATCATGGTATTATTTACTGGTCCCATTGTGAGAATTGTTCTTTTCTGAACATTTAAGTGTAACTCATACTGAAGGCTGTGGTCTTTGATCTTCAACAGTAAATATTTTAAGTACTCTTTGCTTCCAGCAAGCAAGGTTGTATAGGCAGCGTACCACAGGTTGAGGCTGTTAATGAGTCTTCCTCTGATCCTAATGCCATATTTTCATTCATATAATTCAGTTCCTAAAATTATTTATTCAGCATGCAGATTGAACAAGTATGGTGAAATGCTACAACCTTTCCTGATTTTAAACCATTCAGTACCCCTTGTTCTGTTCTAACAGTATCCTGCTGAACACAAATAACTCTTCTGGAATACCCATTTTTTTTTTTTTTTTTGCAATGGTATCCATAGTTTGTCATGATCCACACAGTCAAAAGCCTTTGAATAGTCATTAAAGCACAAGTAAACATCTTTCTTCTTTGCTTTCAACCAGAATCAGTCTGATGCCAGCAATGATGTCCCAGTATCAGAGTATATGTGTGTATGTAAAAATATATGTGAGAGACAGGGTCAACTTGCTTTTTCATAAATATTTTTGTTAAAATATGCTAGTCTTCAAACCCAATAAATCTTTATATTCATGTGTGCCCACACAGATATATATGACTTTATAGTGAATCTCAAGTCTTGTAGCTTTGAAAACCACTCAGCCTTTCTTATAGACTCCAATTAACTCTTTATAGTAAAATTGCTTAACCATCTTCCTCAGTTTAGTAAAGATTAGAAATAAGAAGAAAAAAAAATAGAAAGAAAGAATAGCCTATTCACAATTTTATGAGGATACTATTTCCTAAGTACCTCAGAAGATTATTTTGAAAATAAAAATATGCTTTTAATTTTGAACAATCTCTGAAAGTAAAAGTACTATGTAAGAATAAGCTACTTTAATCTTATTTGTTCCCTCTGATTCCTTTTGATCATCCATTGTATACTTAATAAAAACTTGTTTATGAATGCAATTTTATCTCACATATGCAATTTTATCCCCATACCACACTTAGCCACAGAGACTGGCTGTGCCTTTCTCTCTCACATACACACATGCATACACACAATATATAAATATCTATATATACACTATGATGTATTGTTAAGTGCCGTCAACTTGGTACCATCTCATAGCTACCTTGTACAGCATTTCCAAGGAGTTACTGGTGAGTTTGAACTGCCAAACCCTGTGGTTCACAGTACAGTGCTGATCTGACAGGAGTCCATATACACTATATTATAAAGCAATTAATATAAAGGAATCTTCTTGGTTATCAATAAATGGATGAAATTACTATAGCATAGTGGTTACAAGTTGGAGTGCTAACCTCAAGGTCAACAGTTCAAAACTACCAGCAGTTCCACAGAATGATGAGGCTTTCTGTTCCTGTAAAGATTTACAGCCTCGGAAACCCTATATAGGGTCGCTATGAATTGGAACCAACTCCACAGCACACCACCACCATTACCATTTGTTGTTGTTGTCAGGTGCCATCAAGTTGGAACCGACTCATAGCAACCCCATGCACAGCAGAATGAAACAATGTCCGCTCCTGGGCCAACCTCACTACAGCTGCCACACTTGAGTCCATCAATGATGCCACCTGGCCAATCCATCTCGTTGGGGGTCTTCCTCTTTTTCTCTGACCCTCCATCTTACCCA